AGATCAGTATTTAACTTGTGATATTCATGACTTGTTCCTTCAGTAGTTCAGAGGTTTCCAAAATTAATAGATATAGTAATTGCGGTCAATTAATTAATGTTGAATTAACATGAGATCATTATATAACTAAAACTTAGTTTGTGGTTACTTAATACATAAGTAATAGCATAATATTACATTATTTGTGTGTTACCTAGATTTTTATTATCTAAAGGGGAAACCTTCCTACTCCTGGTATTTGAACCTAATTAATAAACCATATTAGTTGCTCAGACGGATTGCAGTGTTTTGTGTCCTTAGTTTTTCTTCTATTTTATTTTCTAAAGATCAATTTAAAAACTATTTAATATTTTAAAACTATTTTATTTAAACTACTATTTAAACCAGTAAGATGGGCCTTAGTCTGACCGGGGCTCTGCTGCCTGCTCCGTTCTTACTGTCTTCCCTTTCTCTGCTACAGAGGGTTCGGACACTGTGCACCCCCGCAGATGACCTGCCACGTCCTGGCTCACAAAAGAACAGCTCAGCCGCCTTTGAGAGTTTCACGGAGCTGTGCACCCTCCGTCCTAGCCGGACGCCCTCCGCCCACGCTTCTGAACGGGGACCCTTTTAACCTGAAGAAGAGTCTGGGGCCAGGGGGCAAAGTCTACAGCTGCTGCACTGTAAAGATGCCAAACCTTGAGTTTTGGTTCATACAATATGATTGCCTCTGGTTGAACATTTATTTGATATTACATTTTTATCTATGAATGTATATATATTTTTCATATGAACTGCATGTATATTTTTTTATATATATATATATATATATATATATGTTTGGCAGCCCTAAATGTTTCAAGACTGTAAAGCAAATTTGCATTGTGAAGCATTAGTCTGACAGAACGTCCACTTAGCACTAGCTCGGCGATCATTTAGCACTTAGCAATTGTTTAGCGTGACTCTAAGCTGCAGTTGCTTAGCAGTACGACCAAAAATGAAAATGACCATAGAGTACTGAAAAGTGATTAAAATTAAAATCTAGTGGGTATGGATGATGGATGGCTAGAGGGATGCTGCTTATCTTATCACTATTGCTTATCTTTAACTAATAGCAGGTGACTTGTTTTGCTGTGAAGGTGCTTGACATGGGTGTCGTTAGGTCTGATCACTTGGGGCTATAGCTCTGAGTACTGTAAGCTGAGCCCCAAGTGTTTTAGCCCCAATGCCAATTCTCCTTCAAAAACAAAAACCTCAGGTCAAGCCCCAGGTAAACTTGACTTAAGCCCCTGATCTTTTCAATAGCTAGAAATGCCCCCGGGGCTTGATTAGGCTTTCAAACATTATTGACAATTATAAGACTGAGACCCATAATTCCACATTGCTTATCATACCATTATGTTTCCCAACCGACTGCAGATTGTTGAAATCAAAGGAAAAGGTTGAATGACATGTGCTGCCAGAATGCAGGTCGAGCTGAAAATAGGGATCTAAGCAGTCATTCAGCAGAGTTAAAAGGAGCAGGTTTATATGCATGTTTACATCTACCTTCCCTATATAATGAAGTACATCATAAAACATACACAGCAAAAAAAAATATATGGTAGAGTCTTCAAAAAAATTGATAGCCCCCATAATATCATAAATATGAGAATGTCTAAGTTGTGTACATCTACATGACATCAGGCAATTGTATGAATTAAGACAGAATGCCGAAATTCAGTCACAAAATATGCAGAGAGCTCAGGATTCCACTGCATGTGGAAGTATAGAAATGCGCCTGTTGGACAAAGATTATGTGCCATCAGAGAAAGTAGGCTGGGACTTTGAGAAACAGGTATTTCCTTACACCTACAAAGGCTGGTAGCAAGTACCAGAGTATGAACCCCAGCAGCAGGTAGAGCAGGTCTTAGAGCAGGTGCAACAGGTGCCTTCAGGGAGAGAAACAGGGATACACCCAAAGTCCCTTGTTCTGAGCTATTGCCACATTAAACAGCAGCCTATAAGAGACCAAGGCACATACATTTAAAGGTATACACGTAGCAATTAATTTGACATTAAAGATTGTTTAAATGGTTACGTAAAATAGTCCATGTGGAACATAAGTAGCAGCACTTTTGGAACAAGTGTGTTAAAACTGCGAGGGGAGGTGGCTCCTTTGACTTGCTTGTTGTTGCCATGAAGGACTGAGCATCACCCAGTAGGTTCTTACCACACAAGATGGAGGTCAGCATGCAGCTTTAGAATTTGTACAGTAATGGCAATGAGAGGGTTAACATCTCAGAGTAATGGGGATTTTTATGGTACAATGGTACTTAATAGAATGATAAATACTAAAGATGAGGAATTACGTCTGAATTGAGTGCCTGATTTGGGTATGGAAGCTTTATCTGCCTTGACTGCATGATGCATAATCATGTTCAAAGCCAGCAAGTAAGATCCCAGCCACCAGGACACCCAGTACCATCAGACGTGTCACCTACATCTCATCCTTCTGGGTGGAGGCGTGGTCCTGGAGAGACGCTGCAGCCTGAAGATGAAGAGCAAGAAGGCAGATGAAGTGTTCCCTTCTCTAATCCTTTCTCCACATCCGCCTATAAGAACCTACTTTCTTTAAAGTTACATAAATATAACCCAACATGCATGTCATTTATATAAAATCTAGAATAGATATTGTAAATGTAATGAGTTTTTTTTTTTTACTAATGATCCAAAAACATGAAGCCTTGTCATGCACTACTTTATACAAAATAAAGAAAATATTTCTGTACACAAGTTTGCTATACTGTATGTGTCTCAGTAGAGTAGTTGTTGTGCAGTGCTTACGCTAATTAAAATAATCAAAACTAGAAATGTTTTTAGTAAAACACAGCTGGGAAATATGCAGGCTTACAAAAAGCACAGGATGATAGTATTATTAATAAAGTGTTTTTCTCATCTATCCATATAGCCATTCTCCATACCCACTTCCCAAGCCTCCTTTGTGTGGAATTCTCATTCTCTACTCAAGCTCACTTCCCTCCACTTATTCTAGTTTCCTCCCATAACCTGCTCTTCAAGTTCACTAATGACTCAAAATCACTAATCCCTTCACCCTGCTTTCTTTATTTAGGTCCAAAATCAGCAGGTGTTTTAAAGCTTGCCTAGCAACCAGTTTGTCTAGAGGGATTTATATGCCAAAAAATGTAAAACTCATTCATAGAATTTCTTCTTCGGCAACTCCCCTTGGGCACAAACCTGGAATCTTCTAGTCACAAGTCCAGGTTAAATGCTACCCCAGGACACAAGGCTGGGGTACAGGCTGGATGTTGTTCAGTCCCAGGCCGCGCACACACACTCGAATTTTGAGACACCGATTAGACTTACTCATGGGCGTCCCCCTCACATTGCATAATTATTGGTTTGGACCATAAAATATTAGTTCACCCAGCGCTGTTTCTATTGCTTCGCGAAAGAATCCATTCCACTTGATCGATATGAGAATACACATATGGCATCTAATTCATTAAAACATTTTTGGGGAAGGGTCCCCAGACCCCCCCCCATTCAAAATGCTTCTGACGCCCCTGGACTCACTGAATGTCTTTCGACCGTCATGACAGTGAGGAACGATGCAACCCAGACTTTTCAATTATTTACAATGCAGAAGAAACACTAAATTATTGGACATGGTCCATGAGAAAAAAATTTAAATATAAAAATTCAACTTTAAAATGTTTAAAAAATCTAATTGTTTTTTTTTGCCAAATACCAATGCATCGTAACACATAAGTTTAAACTGGTTACATTTCCTTTTAATACTTAATTCTGCTTAACCATACCATATTTTGCGAATGCTGTCTATTTTTTTACTCGAGCAATAAGAAACCGCAACCGGCGACTAAATTTGTTTTCCCCACCACACCATCTTGAACCTCATAAGCCCTTCTTCATATCCCTTCAACTGTGCAACGTCATGCATGCATAAAATAGTTTCTTGTTCTATGTTTTACTTAACCTGTTTAACCTGTTACTAGTTCTTAGTAATTGTCGACTTATCTCATTCAATCAGTTAGAATCGCGGAGAATTTCTACCTAACATATATAACTTTGCGTGCTTCGAGTTGTTCTTCCGACTTCATAAGAAAGTTCGTAAGACATTTGTAACATTAGGTTAAAACGCCTAAATAAAATAGCCGAATAGGTAGTGTACGATCGATCGCATCTTTGAATCTATGCAATAGATGGTACTACGGTCTGTTCGTTTTAGTTATTATGTGTGCACCTTATATGCTTATATTGAGTGATATCTTATGGCGGTTATAGTTTAATAATAATAAAAAAAGCCCCTGGCAAAGTACAACTTCGATGTTTCTGTAGAGATGCCAGAGGAGAAACGCAACTGCAGAAATTATCCAAAAAATGCAATCTGGACAATAAAGACAGATTGCCTGTGTATAACGTATTTCCGTGGTTACTAAACACGTGAATACTTTGATTAAATGCCCGGTCTGTGCGCATAGTTCAAGGTTGGCCAATCTTAACCGCAAAGAGCCGGTATGTATGCAGGTTTTGGGCATAATCTGTAGGTCGATCAGCTGTTCAAACCCAGGTGTGTGGACTCTTCAGCCAATCAGTCCTCGAATTAGTAATCTAATTAGGGAGTTACAGCGAAACCCCGCATACACAGTGGTCCTTTGCGGATATGATTGGCCACCCCTGGTATAATTGCATGGTGCGGACTGTTCGAATGTGATGGTATCGCTATTAGGTGGCAATCGTTTACGGTTCCCGTGCAGTGTCCGTAGCTAAACTGAAGATGGATTCTGCAAAAGAAGAAATTCAGGTATGTCCGCGCATTTTATCGCAACCCATCATATATGGACTAAGAACAAAAATTAGCCTGGGAAAATGCATCCCCCGCAAATATGTGTAACGAGTGGAACTTTAGGACCCAGGAGTGATCGAGGAGAGTGTATTTGTTTTTTTTTATATGACGGTATATCCGGTCGGTCAAAGGCGTTGCTGCAAGTAGTGGCAGTGGAAAGGAGTACGCTGTGGCAGGTTTGAATTGTTTGGTACTGCGTTGGTTACTGTGGAATTATTGTGACCTTATTTGTGGCGGTCATTGTGAATTTTAGGTTTGTGTGCGGCTAGTGTGTGTCATTAACGTGACTTAATTCTTGTAGGTAATCTTGCTCGAGGTGCTATTTGTGGTGCGTTCGATTATCTCTCGGAATTTGGAAATTCTGAGTTGTGACATCACGTCCGACAATCTCCCGCTCGAGCTACGAACTACGATTTACAACAAATCCTGCGTTCGATTCTCCGACTCCGAGTCGGAACTCGGATGAAAACGTCACGGAAAACTACTTCCCGTCGGAATACGCCTCTTTCATGACGCTGATGTCCGTTTCCTCTGTGACGTCATTTCAACATGGCGGCTTACAGTCAACAGTAGTTCTATTTTATAAATATTTCATGGTTTTTGTTAAATGAATTAAGTTATAAATGTAATTACATGGGTTCGATTTAGAGAATACCATATCATGACCGTAAACGGTATCCTAGCATGCAATATCAGATTTTTACCGGACTTGTTAGTGTGTTTTTTTGGCCTCTCAAACAATATCGGTATGAATGTAATAAAACTATTATAAAGCTTTTAATGTGGTTTGACTAGTTCGCGTTTCTTGTTTGTATGTCTCTCGGGGAAAAAAAAGAATCTCACTCCACACTTGCTAAAATATAAAGCAACAACACAGCAGCGTGTTCATGTAGGCAGCCATGTTTTGTTTCCAGATGTGGAAGCTCGAAGTTCCGAGAGATTAATGAATGCACCCACGCACCATTTAGAGTAATCGAATGTTGGATTGGATGGAGGTTTGTGGAAGGGGAGTGTGACGTGATTATGGTGTATTTGTTTAGTGTGCCAGAAAAGCTATTGCTATTCTCTCTATCTAGGTGTTGTTGCTGTACGGCGAAGGCCAACGTGGGCATTGCGTACCTGGGCAGATTCCCAGTAGAGTTGGCATTGGACCTGGCTTCCGCGACGGAGCTGTTTCCAACTTTTGGGTTGATTTCCCTACAGTAGTTCAGCCACTGCTTTCCCCATGTGTACGATAAGGGTATGTGTTACACTGTTTGTTTGCTTTTCCTTGCTTGTGAATTGTTTCTTTGACAAAAGGTTGCTATAGGGGGGTGTCCTACCCTCAGCCTGTATGGTGGCCATGTGTACTTTTGCGTGTTTAACCATTTACGCTACGGTACCATTTTAGGATTTAGTGCTTTTCCGTGCGATATCGCACAAGTGTGATTGCTGTGTTGATTATAATGGGGTGATTTTGGTGTGGAAGTTTGAATCTGTAGTGGAGTACATGGCAACGCTGAGGGTTGGGATACCGCCCTGTACGTCGCATGGTGGATCTCCCTGCCGCTAAGTGTGTTTTTATGGGCCGGAGAGTGCTTCTTAATGTGTAACTATTTCAGTATGTGTAAGGGTATGGATCCAGCTTCTTAATTGTTTTTGTGACGAATCTGTAAATAAAGTATTGTGTGTATATTTGCTTTTGCACTTCAGTCTGCAACAGTTCATTTATTTGAACGCTACCAATGCAGGGTGGTCCCTTATGGTAGGGACCAGTTAAGGGGTACTAATTTCTCTATAATATAGAGAAACCAAAGGATAATAGACTGCCTTTAAGTTGCGGTTTAGTTTTCAGTAATTAAAACTGTAGCTTCAGTTTTATAAAGTACATTAGCTATGCCCACATACCTGCTACTGCTACCATCATAAGGTGCTGGATCTGTAGTTTTTCTAGCCATCTTCAGATTAAGAAAACATTTTATCTGCAAGGAAATTATTCCATCACTGCATATTCAGTGCAGGGTAGTCTGGAGCCCTTCTTAGTCGTCAAACTGGACGAGCTGCGTGCACGGATAAACACCAAAAAGACTTCAGGAACTGCTGTGTTTTGGCGTTCACAGAGACATGGCTGGAGCCCAGCATACCCGACTGCGACGTCACGCCAGGGTTCACTGTGTTTCAGGGAGACGGAACCAAGGACTCCGGCAAGAAAAGGGGAGGAGGTGTGTGTTTTATGGTTAACTTTGTGGGCTATGGATGTGTGTGTCTTAAAAACGCACTGCTCTCCGACTCTTGAGCTACTGACCGTTAAAGTTAGACTTTTTTACCTTCCGAGGGAGTTAAGTTCTCTTTTCATCTGTTTACATCCCCCCACATGCTGATAAAGCTTCGGCTATGGACGAACTGTATGACATCATCAGTGGACTTGAGAATAATAACCCAGAAGCGGCCTTTATTGTGTTGGGAGACTTTAACAGGGCCAACATAAGTTTTCCCTAAATACTACCAACACATCTCCTCTACAAGAGGTAATCAAACACTGGATCATTGTTACACTCTATTCAAGGACTGCTACAAACCCCTCCCCAACCATCTTTTGGTAAGGCAGACCATTGTTCCATACTGCTACTGCCTGCATACAGACAAAGACTTAAACAGGAAATACCAGTTTCCAGGGACATTTACAAATGGGACAGTGAGGCTGAGGGGGGTCTTACAAGACTGCTTTGAGACAACTGACTAGCAGATATTTGAGGATGCAGCTGATGGCAACATCAATGAATTCACAGACTGTCATAGCTTATATTGGCAAATGCATAGACGATGCAAATATCCAAATCAGAAACCCTGGGTAACTAGGGAGATTTGCGCTAAGCTCAAGGTGCGGACCTCTGCCTTTAACTCGGGGGGACACTGATGCATACAAAGCAGCCAGATATGACCTCCGGAAGTCCATCAAAAAGGCCAAAAGACTACAAGGACAAGGTGGAATCCAGCTACCGCAGCTTTGACATCAGGCGCTTGTGGAATGAACTTCGCTGCCTCACTGACTACAAAAAGGAAAACGCAGGCAATGTTCGGCCCACTGTGTCTCTTGCAAATGAGCTCAACAACTTCTACGCTCGCTTTGACACAGACAACAAGGAGCAGGTCCTGTATCCTCAGGTGGGCAGTGAGGCTGAAACTTACGCAAAATGGAAGACGTGAAATGGTCTTTCAGAAAGGTCAATCCTCACAAAGCTCTGGGACCAGACGGCATCCCAGGCTGGGTCCTCAGAGCGTGCGCCGCCCAGTTGGCAGGGGAGGGGAGTTCACCAGCATCATTATCCTCTCCCTGAGGCAGTCGGTGGTCCCTACTTCCTTCAAAACATCCACCATCGTTCCTATCCCAAAGAAACCAGTGGTCTCCTGTATGAATGACTACCGCCCTGTTGCACTGACATCAACCTTCATGAAGTGGCTTGAGCGGCTGGTCAAAGGTCACATCTGCTCCTCCCTCCCTGACACACTGGACCTTCTTCAGTTTGCCTATTGAACAAATAGAGCCACAGAGGATGCCATCGCCTTGACAATGCACACCGCCCTCACTCACCTGGAAAAGGGGAATATATATGCAAGAATGCTCTTCATCGATTACAGCTCGGCATTCAACACCATCATCCCCTCAAAACTTGCCTCGAAGCTCGTCGACCTTGGGCTGGGTCCATCCATGTGCAGATGGATTCTCAAGTTCCTCACAAACAGGCCCCAGATGGTGACAGTTGGTAAACACACTTCCTCCTCACTCATCTTAAACACAGGAAGGCCGCAGGGATGTGTGCTTAGTCCCCTCCTGTATTCTCTGTTCACACACGACTATGTCGCTAAACACAGATCCAATATCATCAAGTTTGCGGATGACACAACCATCATAGGCCTCATCACGAACAACAATGAGACAGCCTATAGAGAGGAGGTGATGGCACTGTACAACTGGTGTCAGGTTATTATCCAGTCTCTTAATGTCAGCAGAACAAGAGAAATGATAGTGGACTACCGGAAACAACCAGTCGGGGAACACAAGCCCATCCAAATCAATGGTGTCAAGGTCAGATTTCTACAGGAGTGCGATCGAGAGCTTGCTGACAGGCTGTATTACAGTTTGGTACAGGAGTTGCTCTGCTAGCGGCTGGAAATCGCTACAGAGAATGGTGAAGGCAGCAGAGTACATCACAAGCATGAGTCTTCCTGCTATTCAGGACATTAATCTCCAGCGGTGCCTCCATAAAGCACACAGCATCATGAAGGACCACAGCCATCCAGCACGACAGCTGTTCTCCTTGTTACCGTCCGGCAGACAATACAGGAGTCTGTCTGCTCGGACTACAAGACTAAAAAATAGTTTTTAATCAAGCCATTTGAAACCTCAACTACAACACTTGAACACACACACACACCATACTTCACTGGATGCACACACAAGTTGTCCTATACAATATAGACTCAGGTGCACTTTGCATTTCATTTTTATTATTATAAAAAATAAACTTACTCTGTGCAATACTGTTGCTTAACTGCCACCTTAAATCGTTGACAATTGTGCTGCTGCTCACTCTTTTATTTCATGTTCAATAATGTTCTCTTCCCCCTCCCCCACCTCAGTACATGCCAGAAGTTAGTTTTTTTTTTTTTTTTTTTTTTTTACTACATTTTTTTAAACTATATTTCTGAGAGACTTGTCTATTCGCGTCAATCACATTTCATTGTAATGTTGACCCTCTGCTAACTTGCAAGACACACAATGCCACCAATGGAAAAATTTTCAGTTAAACTGTGTGCTTTTGGATTGTGCAAGGAAACTGGAGTACCCTGAGGCAATCTGTGCAAAAAAGCCATCATCTCCAGTTTGTGGTAGTGGTATCTGGTTATATTTTTCAGCTGCTGAAAGTGAGACGTTGGGAAAGGCAGTATGTAATCACACTAATCCTGTACAGCCATTGTAATGGGAAAAACTTGGAGATGGCAAATGAAAAGTAATATTTTAGTTTAAAAAAAAAAAAAAATAGCGCTTTTTTTTTTTTTTTTTTTTTTCTTTCTTTCTCTCTCGTTCTTCATGCTTTGTGTTTAACAGTACCGGTGTCAAGGCCATGTAGTATGCAGTTCCTCCAGCAGCCAGTGACCTCGCAAACAGATGCACAGCACTCACCAGCTCTACTGCCTTCTTTTGTCCCCCCCCTCAGGATCCGTGGGTGAGGGGCCTGCGTTACCTGAAGGGGAACCTGTTCTCCTGCCCTCCACAGGAGGCGCTGGCCCACTGCATTAGCGAGGACTGCCGCATGGGCGCTGGCATTGCCGTTCTCTTCAAGAAGCAGTTTGGTGGAGTGAGTGACTTAAAGGCACAAAGTGAGTCGCATCTTGGTCTAATATTTTCGATAACGTTTCCTGTATGGCCTAACTGCAGGTATGTAGCATGCTATGACCGCGCATATCTTTCGTATGGCTTTCATACCTGCTAATCCCTATCTATTCAGACCAAACAGTATTTTCCAGTTAGTTTACTTTTTACTTTCACTGATGTATCCTAGCTAACTGAATGAATTCAGAATCAAGCACAATGGTACCCCTACAGATCATCTCTCCAAATGATTGTCCAAGACACCTAAGCACCTACAGCATCATTTGGGCTGGCATAGATTGTCACATAATAGTAATAATGATAATAAATTAAATTTATAGTGCACTTTACATTTTACAAAGAAAATCTCAAGAAGACATTACATGGAAAAACAGCATTAAAAAGTGGAATAAAACATTTAAGCAATCATTAAAAACATTGGCTGAAAAGAAATGTTTTCAGGCTTTTTTTAAAAAAAACATGTCGCAGTCTGTGGAGCCCTCAAATGTAGAGGTAGGGCATTCCACAGCCGTGGGGCAGCGCAGGAAAAGGCTCTATCTCCAGTGGTACGGGAGCAAGTCCTGGGTAGGAGGAGAAGGTCTGTGTTGGTGGAGCGGAGAGTGCGTGGGTGACAGTGGGGGGTGAGGAGTTCTTTTAAGTATACAGGCGCATTACCATGCAGACATTGGAAGGTAAGCAGGGAGATTTTGTGATCCAGGCAGAAACGGGAAGCCAGTGAAGGGAACGGAGCACGGGGGTGATGTGCTCGTGTTTCCTCACTCTCATCAGGACCCTGGCAGCGCAGTTCTGAACATACTGAAGTTTTTGTATGTTTTTGCCAAAAATCCTGATGAGAAGCATGTTACAGTAATCCAGTCTGGAGGAAACAAAGGCATGCACTAGTTTTTCTGTATCAGAAAGGGAAAGTGTAGGCCGGAGTTTAGCAATATTTCTGAGATGGAAAAAGGAGATTTTGCAAATGTGCTTGATATGGCTTTCAAAAGTAAGTTGAGGGTCAAAAATAACACCAAGGTTAGCGACTGTTTTAGAAAGAGAAATGTTCTGACTGGAGAAAGAGATATTGAAGATTTTTTGTTGAATTTGGTGTGGAGTGCCAATTTGAATCACTTCAGTTTTTCAGCCTTTAAGATGAAGGAAATTTTGCTCCATCCATGCCTTTATCTTATCCAGACAGGCGGGGAGTGGGGGGGCGTAGCTATCGAAGGGGCTGATGAAGTGAGAGGGACCTTAGACACATTGCTACCCAGCTTCAAGTAGAGCTGGGTATCCTCGGCATAGCAGTGGAATGAGACCCCGCAGCTGCTGATGATGTGTCCAAGTGGAGCCATGTACAGATTAAAAAGAATGGGTCCCAATACTGACCCCTGAGGAACACCACAGGTGACAGGATGGCTCAATGATTTAGCATGTCCAATGGAGACTAACTAATATCTGTCTATGAGGTATGACTTGAACCAATCCAGGGCAGTGCCAGTGAACTCTGCAAGGTGTTGTAAATGGTGGAGGAGGATGTCGTGGTCAACTGCATAAAAGGCTGCTGACAGATCCAGAAGGACGAGGAGAGAAGAGGAGCCACGGTCTGCAGTGATCAATAGGTCATTTGTGACCCAGATCAAAGCTGTTTCGGTGCTGTATGCGGAGCGGAAGCCAGATTGAAATTTGTCCAGAATTTTATTGTCGTGTAGGTGTCTGAAGATAAACTGAAACCACTTTTTCCAGAGCTTTCGAAAGGAAGGGGAGGTTGGAAATGGGTCTGTAATTTGCCTGCTCTTGAGGGTCCAGGTTAGGCTTTTTAAGGTGGGGTTTGATTATGGCTGATTTCAGAGTGGAGGGAACAACCAAACTGGAGGGATTGGTTGATGATTGTAGTAATAAGGGGGCCGAGGGAGGCCATATTTGCCTTGACCAGGACTGTTGCGAGGGGGCCAAGAGCGCATGTAGAGGGTTTAATGGCCCTAACGGCGGCCTCAACCTTCTTCACACAGACCTGAGGAAAGGAGCAAAAGAGGGAAGGGTTCCCTAGCAGTGTGTTGGCACCAGTACTGTGTGCAGTGAGGGCAGCTGCAAATGAAGAGCGGATTGTTAGGATCTTATTTTGAAAGGAGAATTTATTAGAGGTCATTAGTAGGGTCGGTGAGTGATGGTGTTCGAGGCTGGAGGAGATGAGTGATGGTTACCCGGGTTATTAAATTATGGATGAGTAAAAACGTTATCGAGCATTTTTGAGGGCCCCTGCTTATAATTTGTGGTGTTCCTGGTAAGCTAGCTTGTGGACTAGCAGACCCAAAGCTAAGAAGCGTCTCTCAAGCGCTCGACCAGCTGCCTTTAGTTTCCTTAGCTCTGGTGTAAACCATGGAGCTGAGCGCAAAAAGGCAACTGTACTCGTTTTAGCGGGAGTGTGTCGGTCCAAGATGGTGGAGAGGGTGGAGTTGTAGAAATCCACTGAATTGGTGAAGATTGGTATGGAAACAGGAATGTAATCCTTAAGCTGAAAGAAGTTCAGGGTTAATGGTTTTTAGATTTTGAAAGGAAATCTGCTGCTTTGGCTTCATGAGAGAGCTTTGGAATGGGGGCCTGTAGATATGATGTATTGTCGTTGAGTGCAGTGGTTTGGAGGAGAAGGCCAAGCATTCAGAGGAGTACAGCACAGGCAAAGGCACCGGACAAAGGCCCAAATGACCTTTAAAAATGACGGATAAGCCACTGCCACGACCTGAGCTTTGTGTTCTTTGAAGATAATTATTTCCAGGCAGACAGGCCTCATTGAGGACAGAGACACTTTTTGGCTGATGCCAGGTCTCTGAGGCACATGATATCCAAATCCTTGTCCTGGATGTGCTCCTGAATGAGACATGCTTTATTACCCAAGGATTGAACGTTAAAGTTTTGTCAGTGAAAGCATGCCATATGTCTTTTAAAAGTCCTGAGAAGATTCAAATCCACTCCATGTTTTACTTCCTGCATCCGAAGAGCCACAGGAGTCGCTGCAGTAATATCGGGACTACAAATCCCAAAAGCCGAAGTGTCTGATGATGTAATCGCCGTGCGCCGGAACATCCAGCTGACCAGATGACCGGCCTGGAGAACCCGGTCTGATGGAGGATAAACTTTCTCCGGGAACATCTGTGGACATATGGACGTCGGCAAAGGAGACCCAGCTGCTTCATGGTGAAGATGTCCAGAGGATCCACAGAGACGTTGCTGTTGTTGACACTCAGGAGGTCTGCAGCCGAGTAGGTTAGCATCGTGCTAGCCGAGGACGAAGGCACGGCGATTCCCAAATACATATGTAAGGGGTCCTGAGCGAAGAAACAGCAGCCGAAGTCGTAAAAAGGTGTTTTAGGGCAAAGTTACTATACTCTTTTACTCTTTTGGTGGAGAAGCGGCGAACACACAACGCCAGCGTCCTCTCCACGTCCTCTCTCTTCAGCACTAAATAAATGGCATCAACCAAATTTGTGGAAAAATGCAGTGGAAGACCTTTTTTTTCCCCTTAGAGGTCACAAATGTAAAATCACCTATTCAATCTATAAAATCTGTTACTACGGAAATACAGCTACATCATAAATAATTCAGACCCTATATGGACAAAAGCTTTGGGACACCTGGCCATTACCCCAACAGGAACTTTGTACATCCCATTCTAAATCCATAGGCATTAATATGTAGTTGGTCTCCCCTTTGCAGCTGTAACAGCTGCCATTCTTCTGGGAAGGCTTTCCACTAGAGTCTGGAGTGTGTCTGTGGGAATTTTAGCTCGTCTTGCTGGGAGACTGGAGCCTATCCCGGAGGCTATGGGTGCAAGACTGGGTGTCAACCCATCACACGGTAACAAGGTAAAGTTCTCCTGACATCCACCAAACCCAGACTTGTCCATCAGATTGCCAGACACAGAAGTGTGATTCGTTACTCCGCAGGATATATTTCCACTGCTTCATTGTCCAGTGGCAGTGCGCTTTACACCACTCCATCTCATGCATGCCATTGCTCTTGGTGATGTGAGGCTTGCATGCAGCTGCTCAACCATGGAAGCCCATTCCATGAAGCTCCCGGTGCACAGTTTTTGGGCTGCAGTTAATGCCAGAGGAAGTTAGGAACTCTGCATTTATTAAGTCAACAGACCAGTGGGGACTTCTACACACCATGCAGCTTAGCACTTGTCAACTCTGCTCTGTTACTTTATGTGGTCTGCAACTTCATGGATGAGTTTCTGTTGTTCCTAAAGGCTTCCACTTTGAAATAATACCAGTTACAGTTGACCGTGGAATATTTTGGCAGGGAAGAGTTTTTATAAATTGACTTATTGCAAAGGTTACACCATTTGACAGTACAATGTTCACTGAGCTCTTCAGAATGGCCCCTTTTTCACAATTGTTCTTGAACCTGTTATACTCCAGTGGCAGTGGGTCTGAAACACACCTGCACTCAATGATTGAGGCGTGTCCCAATACTTTTGTCCATATAGTGTACATTTAAGCAAATGTTTTTCTGAAAGCTTATACTTCTCTGATTCCTTCTGAGCTGAATGTTTGCCCGCATCCAGAACCCTGAAGGGAAATCTCCACCCCAGTGCCTACTTTAGACAAGAACATCATTTCTGATCCATGCTTCCCGAACTAATGGGGGTTTGTAAGTGTACATGGCACATCCAAAACACATGAGCTATCCACTTATGTCACAGAAGTTTATTAAACAGCAGTGAAATGCAATACTGTCAATCATCCATGGCATCACACTTTCAGCAAACTACCGTCTGCTCACGTATCAAATCGCATGTTTAAAGCTTGTGCTTTAATTTGATTGGTCTGTGGGAACACCTTACATGCTTGTGCTACAGACTGGTCAGAACTGGTGCATAACAAACCTTGTTTCTTGCAGACAAGAAGACAGGAGATTGTGCCGTGTTGAGGCGACACAATCGTTTCGTGTACTACCTGGTAAGGAGAAGACTGGAATGAGTTAGGGTTGTGGCTTGGGCCCTGGAGATACCCCTGGAAGATTCTCCCATAAATGAATAGGCCCTGTCATGCGAAAACTCTCCAACTGTTCAAGTTCCTTCCCCGGTGACATATCGCTCAGCTGCTTGGCCGATGATGCAATGGCAAAGTGCCATGGGCTTCCTGGCTGTCCACCATGGTCCTTTGGGTGTTATGTAGCCCAGGAAAAGCTTATCGGCGTGAATGACGTTTGCCAAAACTGCATGTCTTCTCCAGCTGTGTGCTTTACATTGATATATTTTGTAGTTGGACATGAACTGAAATGACACTCTGTGGTACCTGTTGAGTTGTGGGCCTCCTCTGAGGACCATCATGCTTTCTTAATGCCTCTTGTCCATCATCTGTTCTTCTTTCTTCACCCTGTTAAGATCACCAAGAAGAAGGCAAGTCAGAAACCTACCTATGAGAGTCTGAAGCAGAGTCTGGTGGCAATGAAGACACACTGCTGGGAGAACAGTGTTGCCAGCATCTCCATTCCACGGTGTGTGCCATTTTGCTAACCATGGTCTGTGTTTTCAGCAGTGGAAGGTGTGATATAGGTTTGTTTGTAGTTATGTGTTGCTCATAATGCACAGCTAAACTGCAAATGAGAATGAAGTGGTTTGTAAGCCCTTAATCTACTTACTGTGTATATTTTTGCCTCTGCATAACTCCAATCCAGAATTGGCTGTGGACTCGATCGCCTGAGCTGGGAGAAAGTGTCAGTGATTATTGAAGAGGTGTTCCGAGACTCCAACATTCGAATCACAGTGTATAGTCTGTGAGCTTGGCAGCCCTGGCAGGGCCCAACCTGGGATCTGCTTTTTGGGACTGGAAGCACCATACAGGCACAGATACGCATTCACACCCTTTTCACATACCTCAGACTTCACACGTGAGAGAACACACACACACACACACACACACACACACCCTGTTCCACCATAAATGCAGGTGGTCACATACACATACCCACGTTGCAAGCGGTGTGCAAACTATATTTAGAAAGCTTTGTTCCAGTGCTCTGAGGTTTACACTATAAAGACTGCCAGTTGTGGCTTGCAATATGTGAAGGATTAAAATGTTATGTGTTCTGTAAAATACATGATAGAACACTGTATATGATGAACTGCATTTATTATCTTAAACAATTTTAACTGGAAAATTATTCCTTTCTTGCTGCAGAACTTGATTTGTTTCTTTTTCTGTTTTTGTTAGAAGTTTGCCTGATGATTAAACACTTTAGAGTTTAGGTTAAACCGTGTTTCTTTCTTGTGACTTCTGTTCACTGAGACAAACCTATGACAGAACCCATATGGAAACTAGTTTTTTTCCTTAGGGATATGCAATGACTGGGAGTAAAATGGCCTGATATGTGAGCTGTACACTTTTATACCTAAATATGAAATGCTTAATAGTGACCACACATTGCGAGGGAAATGTTTCTTGTAGGCAGGTGTAGATGCATCCAGGATCTGCAGGATGCCGATTACTTTTGGCAACTGTCAGTATATGCAGGTAATAACCTAAACGTACAGGTGCTCATTGTGTGACCAAGACCTGAAATACGTATCTACCACAGAGAGATGCTTAGTTTCTATGCGCAAACAGAGGTCTCCATCATATATATATATATAAAAGCCCGTATGAGGAGTAAAGTAAAATAGATGCCCAAGAAACTGAAATATCATTTTATACATTTGGGGAAATTCAGCCAGTTCTTATGCTTCATCCTACTTAAACAGGATTTGCAGACAATTGGGAGTGAAAGTTTATGGGCCGTTTGGAATGAACTGGATTCCTCCATGAATGGCTCCTAAAATGTGATCTGGCCTGCGTAGTAATAATAACCGAAGACATCCTTAACAAGCGATGCACAACATTGAACTTTGCTATGTCAATAAACATTTTCTCACCACTGTCTGTTTTAAATATAATGAATCAAGAACAGGCAAGTATATCTTAAAATTAAATTGGAAACTGTTGAGTTTTTTGGCTAATATATATACATTTGATTGTACATATGTAAATATTAGGTGTGTTTAAGAATAACATGTGAAAACTATAACTGATTTGTAATGAATACAGATTTGGCTTTTCCAGAATATGATGAATCCTAGTGTGGGAGACCTTTAACAATGTAAAAATAATTGAAAGTCATAAGTGGGTGGAATTTTCAGCTAAAAAAATAAACACAGTCACAATGCTGAAAGATAAAGGTCTTCTGACAAGCAGAATGACACAATGAGGTCATTTTCCTGATGGTCGGTGTATAGCTGTAGCCATCTGACCCATAGCTCCCTTTTCCAGGCTGTTTTGTCACTTGTTTATTCTTTAACAGCTTGGCAATGCAGTGATTCCGAAGTACCACTGCAGAGCCACATGGGGGAGCTCTAAAGACATGGTATAAAACAGGCCGTTCATAATGAATGTTTGCTGAGAATTCTGGGATTTGGAAGACAGATTTGTTGCTATTCTGAGAGCAGGAAAGGTTGGATGATAGCTGATGAGTTATCATAGAAGAAAGGGCGGCCATTTACTTCATCAAATGAAAAGATGTGGGGGTTCTAAGGGGCTGACAAAGGCCCCCTTTCCTGCAGCTCACACTGGTCTGAGTCTGAGCTAGTTCCGTTATTGACTGGGACTGAGAGTTCCACAGCAGCCAAAAGGAATTGGGATCCTTCTTCAATAGGAGGTCGTGTGGAGTCCAACAGGGCAACTTGAACACTATCTTCCAAGTAGAAAAATGTCAGGCCCTGGCTGGTGGTGTCAGCCATCCTATGTCGTGCCTTAGACCTGTAGTGTGTAAAGAAGGCAACTCGCTTGGCAGGGAGTCTACATGAGTAGACGATACCGTAATGTTTAGGCATTTGTGCATGCTTGGAAATAGCTGAAGTGGGATACATATTAGGGCGAAAGTGAAGAGAGCCAGACCGGCTGTGGGAAGAGGTGACAAGTTGGACATGTTGTGCAGGTTTAATGTTGCTTGAAAGCAGAAGTAGGATGCAAGGGGAAAGAAACAACTCTGAAGATCTGACCTGAAAAACAAACCAAAAAGGTTTTAGAGGAGTATTCCAGAATATGATGTTTTCTTAACAAAAGGAATTCTGGAGGTGTTACTAATAATAAGAATTTCTGAACAAATGTAGTATTAATTAAACAGTAGCTAAGAAAATCAGTATTATGACAGTTAAACTTTTTTTTTTTACCACTGCAAAAGTTTGGCCACTCATACGGTCACTGAAGGATGTCAGCTAGCCTCTCCTGGTAATATTCGTAATTCTCCTGGCAGTCTTCCCATGGGGTGAAGCTCTGGTCCTCATTCTCCACAAAAGTATCCCAGGTGTAGATGAAGTCTGAGGGCTTCATCATGCGCAGCTTGCAGCCGGCTGCCACCAGAGCCTTCAGTCCCACCTGGATCTCCGGCTCCTCCCACATGAAGAGGCGCGAGGAGAAGATGGTGAGGTGCAGTGTCTTGCGAGTTTTCAGGATCTCTGTCAGCTTGGCGGCGCAGGCGGCACACGGGCTAGACGACACATACCAGGTGACCATATAGCGCAAGGCGGGGTCATACTGCGGGAGCACCTGGTGGAAGAAGGCCTCCTCGGCGTGGGCACCTGTGTGCTCGTCCTCCAGGTAGCCCCGCAGGCCTTCCCCATTGCTGTTCTGAGCATCCACCAGGAAACACAGGAAGGTCTTATTCCGGCCTGATGAGTACTCCACGTTCTTGAACTGGAACTTGAAGAAAAAGGGGTTGATCTTCTCTCTGGAAAAGAGAAGGTTTGCACTGAAAATGTATTATCTTCCATTGTCCCATTTTAAGACCTGTCAAGATATAGCAACTGAAACAGGTTACATCCAGTGGATGAGCAGGTTTCATTCAATCGGTACCGGCAGGATTAAGATTAAAATTATACATAAATATGAATCCTGGTATAAACAACCATATAAAGACCCAGACAGAACATTCTGAAGTAGTGCCACCCATATGGTCACGAGGATGCAGCACTAACTGGGACATTGTAATTCACATAATTCACAGTGGTGTGAATAAGTAAGTATACCGCTTGGATCTCGTTTTTAACATTTCAGCATAACAATGTTAGAGTTTCATTTTGACAATACTGATAGGGAAATATGATAAAAATTATACAGTTTCACGTCTTCATTAATCATTTATGCCATAAAAAACTAATTCCTTATGAGGAAAAGTTTGTATATCCCTACATTTATCACCATATTAATCAGATGCATCAAAAAAATCCCAAATGATTAGGCCATTACAGTATCTTTGAGAGATGCAACTTATATATATTTTTTTATATATATATTCCCTCCTCCACCCCCCCTCTGCGGAGGACTACTTTATCTGTATCTATTTATTTATTTATTTATTTATTTATTTTATTATATATATATATTTTTTTTTATAATTCTTATTTTTTTTTTTATTTTATATTTTTATTTACTTCCTCAAAAGAAGGAGAGGGAGGGAAGAGAGAGAGAGGGAGAGAGAGGAATGGAAAGAAAAAAGAAAAAAAACAAAAAAAAAAAAAAAA